CACGCTTCTTGATAACCTTGTTCTTTAAAGGCTTTTATATAGGTGCTTGTTTCCTTGTTTTAAAAGGAAAGGACTCAGGTTCTCACAATTCCAAGACGGTTAATAAGATGAGTTTAGTAGCTGTGCTGAGATGTGTTTGCTGGCTGAATACAGCTGAGTCTGTGTGAGTTCCATGTTTTATGTTGTTGCTGCTTGATTCTCTGTGCTGTTCCACAGCTCTGGGAGCAGCTGGCAGAGAGGCATGGCTGTGAGAGCCTGTGGCTTGATCATCTACAGGAGGCTGCAGTCAGCTTCATCTCCTAAGGTCACGGACAGCATTGAATACCTCCTGCTTCAGACATCCTATGGGACCCACCACTGGACCCCACCCAAAGGTGATGTTTGTTCTGATAATATGCTTCAAACTGGTTGGTCTTGGGGGTGAGATTGCAGGCTGAACTTTGGCTGAATGCTGCTGAGGTCAGCTTAGAGGCGCAGTTACCAGTTCAGAGGAGCAGCTGATTATGCCATTTGTCTGATGCTGCTGCTCATGCAGCTGAGTGGGGGGTTTTGAGGCTGAAATTCTTTGCAAGTTTTGACTGTACAAAGCACCGAACATGTCTGATTTAGTGTGGGACTGTGGGGTGTCACCCAGTCGTGCTCCTCAGATATCTGATGCTTCTGGCAGACACTGAGCACACAACTGAAGTTAGGTAGTGAGAGAATTTTTTATGTTCTTGCTTAGGTCTGATCCTCCACCAGGTGCTGCTGTTGCCCATGCAGGATTCTTTGGCCTGTGTACAATCATCAGGATCACAGTTTGCTGTGCAGTATTAGAAGGCAAACTGAAACCTGCAATGATACACTTTAAAACACCTTTCTTAGAAGATGAAGAATTCAGGAGATAATTGGTGAAGATCACATGCCTAATGCAGTAGAGATGAGAAGGACAGTAACCTAAACCATCCTTGCTCATCATCGAGGCCCTGAAGCAGAAGACATAGAGCAGCACCTGCTCTGTAAAGGCACCTGACAGAGCCAGTGTTTGGTAGTACACGGTCACAGTCCTGGTACCAGGAAAAGTGTAGCAGAAAAATACTTCAGGTTCCTTGTAAATCTTCTTTATGCTGTTTCTTCGCCCTCTGAGATTTCTTCCTGATGGTTTTTGCTTCTTGTTTGGTAAAATGCAGTGCTTTTAAAGCATAGTGCAGCAGTTTCTAAACAGGAATTTGCAAACTGAAAAAAAAATCATCTAACAATATCAACTGTGTTCTCCTATTAAGGGAAAGAACAAAACTTTCCAAACCTCCCCCTTTGTCCACAAAAAGCCTAAGGGAGTTGAGTTTGCAGCCTGTTGGAAAGCTGGAAAACATCTCCTGGGACATGATTGGATGTTGTGAGTAGAGACCCATGTGGAAAGGTTCACTGGGAACACTTGTCTGGGCAAGCAGTTCAAATTACTTGTAGGCATGCATCCCACACACTCAAAATCATAGAACCATAGAAGAGAAGGGACCTTTAAAGGTCACCTTGTCCAGTCTCCCTGCAATGAGCAGGTTGCTCAGAGTCCCGTCCAGCCTGGCCTTGAATGTTTCCAGGAATGAGGCATCCACCGCCTCTCTGGAGAGTCTGTGACACTGTTTCACCACCCTCATGGTAAAAAATCTTTTCCTTGTCTGTAGTCTGAATCTGCCCTCTTTTAGCTGAAAAGCATGAGCCCTTTTCCTGTTGCTCCAGGCCCTGTTCTACAGTGTGTGTCCTCGTCTTTTATATGAACCAGCACCCTTTAGGCACTGGAAAGAGCAATAAGGTGTCCCCAGAGCCTTCCCTTCTCCAGACAGAACAACCCCAGGTCTTTCAACCTGTCTCTATAGGAGAGGTACTCCAGCCCCCTGATCATATTCATGGCCTCCTCTGGACTTGCTCCAGCAGGGCAGTGTCCTTCCTTTGCTGAGGATCCCTGAGCTGGATGCAGTACTCCAGGTGGGGTCTCAGCAGAGCCGAGGGGGAGAAGCACCTCCCTTGGCATTCTGCATAAGGTTTTAGAGATCTAAAGCTACATACCAAAGCCACAATCTGATGGCAGTCTGCAGCAGTACCTTGGTATGGGTTTGAGGGCAGTCAGTGAACCAGAGGTATTATGTTACGTAGTATCTGTGGTATGAGTGGCCTTCAAAGGCAGCATCAGGATATGTGTTGCAATAACGTAACTTGTATATGATGCTGACATAGATTCAGTGTGGGAGGAGCCAGAAGGAGGAGTTGTAATTCTCTCTCCAAGTGCACACAAAAGGCAGTTTACAGCTACACCTGTACCTTGTTATTTTAAAAGTTCCCTAAGCAGCTACAACCCTTATGGGATTAAACTGGACTTGCTCGGATCCTCCACACGATTTCATCAGCCTTATCTCTGCCCCCTACAATTGTGACTATGCGCTAGCTGAGGCTGATGGGAATAGGATGTGGGGTTCATTTTCCTCTTCAGTGTATTGGAAACGGATTAGTGGAAACAGCTGGGAGGATCTGAAAGCTGTGCTGAGGTGCTGCCAGCAGTCCCTTTTCTGCCCAGCAGGTAGACTACTGAACAAACTTGGAAGCTTACTGACCTTAGACTTGAGGTTTTCAACGGATACTAACATCAGATGCTGTTTTCTGCACAACTGCTGCTTGAGATTGAAGTGTATTTTACATTTGAGGGGATGTCATGTTGTCAGAGGTGTTTAAGCTTCTAATACACAAAGCAGTGAATTAGTCCTGTTGCAAAAGCAAAACAAACTTCCCACATACCCCAGATGTAATACCAAAGGATGGCTTTGGGTACCTGGGACCTGAGGAAAGATTTGTCTCTATGATGAAATTTTGGCTGTTTGCAGCCATCTACATAGAAAATAGAGTGACACCAGGGGCAAAATAAAGCTTAACTTTTTCCTCTTGAAACTTCCCAACTCCTGCTATGTTGCTTTTTTGAGGTCTTGCCTGACGTGTTCTGTTTATGTTCTGGTCTGGAGCTTTCATGAGAAAACGAAATCTGACATTTCTCAACAGAAGTACAAACGACTGGGGACGTGTTATATTTATCCGTTGTTTGTAGTGGCACCTCTCGTTCTGAGCAATGTAAAATAAGTGATGTGTCTTAGGAGAACTACACAGTTGGTGGAAGGACTGGCTTTTAGGCTTGCTGTGTTTCAGAGGGGAATGTGGGAGATAAATAAAAAGCCCCTAACTGCCTAAGTGAAACCCACCCACCTCTTGAATGGCACTTGTTGGTGCCTGGGCATGTTGTTTCTGGGCTGTTGGCATGAGTGAGAGTTTTTCAGATTTGTACCATAAGCTTATGTGGAAGGGCAGGGTTGAGAGTGGATTAAGACTCTTGCAGAGGAGCACTCTCCCCTCTAACTCAATAAAGGAAAAACGTTCACGAGGGACTCAGTCCTCAGTATGATCTAAGGTGGAACATTATGGCTGTAGAGTGCTCCAGAACAGGAGAGGAAGACTGGGAAGAAAAGATAGGTAGTGCTGACAGGCCACTGCAAGTTTCAGAAGATGTGGGATAATCAGGGATACTAAAAGCCACAAGACAAAGACAAATCGAGACTTATGAGATTTGGAAAAGCAATGCCTGTTCTTCAATTTCCATTACATCCTGTATCAGCTACAGTGTACTCCCATCTCTGTCTCCCAGTGTTTCACAGTTGTCAGATTAAATGAAATCTGAGTTTCCTTCTCCGAGATTTACTTTTTCACCCTCTTGACAGGCCACGTGGACCCAGGAGAGGACGACCTCCAGACAGCCTTCCGGGAAACGCAGGAGGAGGCTGGTCTTGAGGCCAGTCAGCTCACCCTCATAGAGGGGTACAAGAAAGAACTGCACTATCCTGTCCATGGCAAACCTAAGACCGTCATTTACTGGCTGGCAGAAATGAAGGACTGCAACACAGAAATCAAGCTGTCTGATGAACACCAAGCTTTCCAGTGGCTGAAGCTGGAGGACGCTTGCAAATTTGCAGAATATGAGGACATGCAAGCAATGCTCAAAGAAGTGCATCAGTTTCTCTGCTCCAAAGAATAAGCATTTTTGTGAAGTAGAAGAGGAATTTCTGGCCTGCTTTTTTTCCTTTTATCTTTTCTTTTTTAAACCAGGGGAAGAATTACATGGCTGCAGAAATGTAGATTTGTTTTTGAAATGTGTACAAATTCAGTGGAGATAGATGGAGCTTTTAAAGAGCTTGTGCTTTTGTCTCCCCTAGCTAGCACAAAAAAACGTGGTCTGATCGAACCATTAGCCAGAGATGTCTGAATTGAAACCCAGAGCTAACAAAGATTTCCTCTGCCCCTGTCTTCTTTTTTCCATTTTTTTTTTTCTCCCTTGAAGTGCTGAACAGCCGCAGGTCTTTTGAAAAATCAAACACTTGATATATCTTGACTGGCTGATGTAGAACTACAGAGTTGAGAAAATGAGCATATGGAGATTTTTAATAACAAAGTGCTACAGGAGAAGTTGCACCTTGCATTTCAAATGAGGAAGCAGAGTTCTGTTCCCAACTCCTCCACTGATACGCTGTGATAACTTGTCAAATCATTTCAGGTCTTGTTTGTTCATATCATGAATGTATGTACATCCCTAATGCACTGTTATGAGAACATTTTCCATCCAAAGAGTCTGAGTAAACAGTTGAGTTACAGTATTTAAATGGTAAATCTGAAGTTCTTTTTTTGCCTCTTTCTTTTCATTTTTGATCTCTAACAGACAGAATCAGTTTGGTTGGAAAAGACCTCTGAGATTGAGTCTAACCTGTGACCTAACACCAGCATGTCAAGTAGGCCATAGCACCAAGTGCCACATCCATTCTCTCCTGAAACACCTCCAGGACTGATGACTCTACCACCTCTTAGGCGAGTCTACTCCAGCGTCTAGTCACACTTGCTGTGAAGACCTTCTTCCTAATGATTAACCTAAACCTCTCCTGTCACAGCTTGAGACTATGTCCTCTTGTCCTGTGATTATTTGCCTGGAAGAAGAGACCAGCCACCACCTGGCTACAACCTCCTTTCAGGTAGTTGTAGAGAGTTCTGAGCCTCCTCTTCTCTACGCTAAACACCTACTGGTCCTTCAGCCTCTCCTCACCGGACTTGTGTTTCAGACCCTTCATCAGCTCTGTTGTCCTTCTCTGGACATACTCCAGAACCTCAATGTCCTTCTGGAAGTGAGGGGCCCAGAACTGAACATAATACTCATACATAGGTGTGGCCTCACCAATGCTGAGTACAGGGTGAGAATCACTTCCCTAGTCCTGCTGGCCGCACTATTTACACACCTTAGCCATACATTTTTCAGGGGGTTGATTGGGCAAGAGAAATCTATCTGCTTAATACACTTTCTGCACAGGATATCTTAAGTTCATGAGCAGTCTTGTTTCTGTTTAATGCTGTCAGGTGTCTGTTTAATACTATCATCCATGTTTTTGTGGCTGCAGCCTGCACCCCTGTGTGGGCAGCAGGGCCATGTGCACAGGCAGTGCTGTGCTGTGGATGCTCGCACTGGGTGGTTGCAGAGCTCTGCAGTAGTATCAATGAGCTGGTCTGCATCAGCTTTCCTGGGGACCTGTCTTTTGCCAGTGGCATTGGCAGCTGGGGTTGTTAGCACTCTGTGTGATTATGTATGTTTGGTTCCTAATAATGGTTCGTAATCTTTTGGATGTTTCAGTACATAAATAAAAAAAAAAAATTAAAAAAAAAGCATGATGACAAAAGTGAGGAATGAGGTTTTCTGAATCCCAAGGGAACTTTGGGAAAGAACAGTCATCAGTTCCCTGCTTCTCTAACCTTTGCTGCTTAGCCACTTGGACCTCTCAAAGCAAGTAAGTGTATGAGAAGGTGGGTTCTACTTCCACTTTTTAATTTAATGTTGTGTTACTCTCCAGTTACGCAGCACTCATACTTTGGTGCAGCATACATTAATAACGTTAGTACCAGTGACAGGAGTATCTTGCTCATGATTCTGTTATCTTCTTGTAGTCTAATTTATAAAATCCTCCTTATTGTGCATCCTTTTTTGTATATCTTTTTGCATATACATATGCATACATATACACATACATACACACAAAAAAAAGGATGCACTATAAGGAGTACACAGACAGACACACAAACAACTTCATTGCTCCTTCACTTTACAATCAGGTTTTATTTTGATTCTCAACACTGTTCAGAAGCATTTCGTTCAGGTGATGGCAGAGAGTGGAAGCACACAGGTTGTGCAATTGCTGAGCGTTTCTCAACTACTTTTAGAACCAGAGGATGGAAAGTGTCTCCACTGTCACCAGGTCCAGCCCCAAGGGTCAATGAGCTGTTTTGGAGTCTTTCCTGAGGTGTGTTTGGCTAACATGCCTTTCAAGACCTCTCCGGATGAAGACTCACGCCTTCAGCTCGGGTCTTAAACATCTAATGTAGGTAAAGCTGTGAGAATAACTGAAAGATAATGAGCAGTGAAAGAGAGGGTGAGAGAAAAGAGTTAAAAGCCTGTGGTGCTTTGGTCTTGTTTTTTCATTATTGTTTTAGCTACCGTTTAATCAGTGCTATGTAAACAATAGTGTTGCTGCCTTCATGTTTATAAGCAAGATTAGCATATTAAGTATGAGTTACAGAGAGTCATTAACAAGTCATCGGTTCTGCCCATTCAGCAGTAATTAACATAAACATTTGTTGCTTTGGAGAGCACATTAGCTGAACTCTAGGCCGCTATTTCCCTCTTAATGTCACTGCTTGTGTAGCGTTCCCAAAGATTGTCTAGCATTTGGAGGGTGACCAGTGCTGTGCACTGTAAGGTGCTCCTGGGAAAGAATTTCAAGGTCAGGCATCTTAACCGTGGCAGGAAAAGGGCGCAAGGGGTGTAAGTGAGATAGTTGATGAGGCACTGTGTGTGCATTTTGAGTGATTTATGTACAGAATGTATTCCCACAAATCTTATGAGTAAAATGATGCTTACGCATTTGGAACCTTGACCCCAAAGTCTTTGGATTTGTTTTAAAGTGGACACATTGGAAAGTCAGAATTTACTTCCAGCTTTTGCTTGTGTTCACTGCTCACTCGTGAAGAATGAGTTCTTACTCTGTCCATGTCTAGCAGAGAAACATTTTCCCAATGATACCAGGAAAACCTGCAATAATAAAACTCAATAGTCGGTTCAGCTACTAAGTGGGTGTTTGTTTATTCAGTGCTGAGGACTCGGGGGTCGATCCTCCTAACACACATACCTTTCCTTGGCATTCCCAGCATTTTGCATGCACATACATACATATTCATTACATAGGTATACATGGGACGTTCTATTCCTGAGTTGGTTTATGCCTCTTTGCACCAGCGCACTGCATTGGGGTGGTCGTCTCTGGGATCACCCAGGCTGCCAATTCTTTCCCTTACTTTGTTCTAATGCCACTACTGTTGCAGTTATCACTAATTTAGTTAATCTCCCTCCCTCCCTCCCTCC